CCCCAATCATCCCATGATGCTTCGTCTCTACCCAAATTAGCCACAGAATCAGCACCTTCACGTGTGCACCATTATCAACCTTGACCATACTATGCTGTAAATTGGTTATTGGTTGAATCAAGACTCGACCTTCATCATCACAAATAGGAGGTTGTAGCTGGGATGTCACAGCCGGGCCGATCCGCCTCTTCAACTGGGACACGTGGAAGACAAGGTGTAGCTGACACCCTGCTGGAAGCTCAAGCCAGTAAGCCACTGTACCAATCTTCTGTATAATCTTGTATGGACGTAATAACGAGCACTTAGCTTCATGTTTCTGCGAACATCAACTGAGGATTGTCTATAAGGTTGTATCTTTAGATAGACTAGGTCCCCTACTGCAAGTGTTCTTTTTGTCCTTAGTCTGTCTGCATAGAATTTCATTCTGGACTGGGCTTGAGTTAGGTTGTCTCTTAGAACCTAAAGCATGTGTTGTCTCTGTGCTAAGTTGACCCCTGCTGGATTGTGACCACTATTAGGTAATGAGCCCAATGGTAACTAGGTCGGAGGATACCCATATAGTGCTTCAAATGGTGTAGTCTTGAGTGAAGTGTGGTAATTAGTATTATACCACCACTCTGCAAGGTGCGGCCACTTTGCCATTGTTTTGGATTACCAAACACCATAGCTCTAAAATAAGTCTCTAAACAGTTGTTAAGCCTCTCAGTCTGGCCATTTGATTGTGGATGATAGGCAGAGCTCATGTTGAGCTTAGTGCCTAAGGCCTTGAAGAGGTACTGCCAGAAATGGCTGGTGAAAATGGCATCCCTGTCAGATACAATGGTCCTGGGAAGAGCATGCAACTTGTAGATCTTTCTCATGAACAATTCTGTCACATCTTGTACTGAGTATGGGTGTTTAATAGCTAAGAAATGCCCATACTTGGTTAGTCTATCTATGACTACCAATACAGCATTTTTCTGACTAGAAATAGGCAATCCTTCTACAAAGTCTAAGGATATATTATGCCAAGCTTGTTCGGGAATAGGTAAAGGTTGTAACAACCCAGGGGAATGTGCATGCTCAGCCTTCACCCTTTGGCAGACATCACATTCACTTACCCACTTAAAGACTTCTGATTTCATGTTTGGCCAGTAGAACATTGATTGTACCCTTCTGTAAGTTCCTTATTGGCCTGAGTGTCCCCCTAAGGGTGACTGATGCAAGGATTCCAATAGATGTTGTTTCAATCCACTACTCTGCCCCACATAGATTTTTTGTTTGAATCTGATGATTCCTTGATGTAAGGAATAGTCAACCTTGCTGTTAGGTTAGACCACTAGCTCACTCAGAAGCTGTAGAGCTATTGGATCATTCTCATAACTCTGAGAAACCTCCTGCAACCAAGTGGCCTGAGATGTAGACATAGCCAATAGAGTAGATTCTTCTTCCTGTCTCCTTGAAAGAGCATCTGCAACCTTATTCTCTATACCCCTTTTGTATTGTACTTCATAATCCAACCCTAGAAGTTTAGTGAGTCCTTTCTGCTGCAATGTTGTGCTGACTTTTTGTTCCAGAAGATACTTTAGACTCTTATGGTCTGTTTTAACAATAAAGTGTCCCCCTTGTAAGTAATGTCTCCATTTGTCCACTGCAGAAAGTACAACTAGATACTCTTTTTCATAAGTAGAGAGTCCTTTGTGTTTCAAATCTAGGGCCTTGCTGAAATAGGATATAGGCCTGCCTCCCTGCATGAGTACAACTCCCATAAATGTTGCACATGCATCAGTTTCAATAATGAAAGGTTTGGTAAAATCAGCTAGAGCCAATACTGGCACTGTTGACATAGCTTCCTTCAACTGTTGGAAGTCCACTTCTGCTTTTGTACTCCACTGAAAGGAGTTCGTTTTTAGAAGATTTGTCAGTGGCCTGCTGATAACTCCATAGGACTTAACAAACCTTCTATAGTAGCCAGTAAGCCTTAGAAACCCCCTTAATGCCTTCACAGAATTAGGAACATGCCAGTTGATCATTGCTTCAATTTTTGAAGGGTCAGCGGAGACTCCATTTCCTGAAATGATGTGGCCTAGATACTCAACCTTATCCTGTCCAAATGAACACTTGGACAGTTTGGCATATAGTTGCTCCCTATATAGTACCTCCAACACCTTTCTGAGATGCAATGCATGCACTTGCATTGAAGAGCTATAGACTAGAATATCATCAAAGAATACTAATATAAATTCCTCAAAAAAGGTTTTAAAATGTGATTCATAAGACTATGAAAGGTTGCAGGTGCATTGGTCAAGCCAAAGGGCATATGACCCTTAACTCATAATGGCCTAGATGAAATCTAAAAGAATTCTTATAGATGTCAGTTTCTCTCATTCTTATTTGATAATAACCAGCCCTCAAATCGATCTTTGAATAGATACAGGAACCATGTAATTCATCTATTAAATCATCTACTAATGGAATAGAAAATTGATCCTTGATAGTCATCTTATTCAACTCTCTATAATCAATGCAAAACCTCCAACTTCCGTCCTTCATTTTAACTAAAAGGACTGGGGAAGAAAATGGTGAGTGACTGGGTTGTATAGTGCCAGTAGAGAGCATCTCATTGACCTATTATTCTATTTCATTTTTCTGGAAATAGTTATACCTGTAAGGCCTGATACTGACTGGTGTTACATCAGGTTTGAGAGGAATGAAGTGATCCTGATCCCTTCTTGGAGGTAGTATTTTTGGCTCTGCAAAGACCCCTGTGAAGTCCTTCAACACTGTCTTGATCTCCTTAGGTATGGATTCTGTTATCCCTTACTCCTAAGCTGATAAGGTAAATAGATGTGCCTACAGCACTTGAACTTTCTTCAGTAGTTATTTCACTCCAGAAGTTGTCATAGCTTGAAGATTACCTTCCTCAGTAAGTCCTTTCAGATCTGCCCTTTTCCCATTGACACTGACTTGAAACATGTACCCAATGAAGTCAAATAGTATAGGATTATGTTTCCTCATCCAATCTCCAACAAGTACTATATCACAACCTCCAATATCCAACAGTCTGAGTTTGTATTCAAATTCCACTCCCTGGACCTTCCATTTGAATTGAGGGCAGTAGTGGTAGCTCATCAAATGAATACCATTGGCAGCAGTCACCCTCATAGGAGCAGCTTCCCTGATCACACAACCCAACTGTTTGGCAGTGTCACTAGCCACAAAACTATGTGTACTCCCACTATCAGCTAGTATTATCAACCCTTGTTTTCCATACATTCCTTTCAACTTGATTGTATTGGAAATAGCAGTGCCTGATAAGGCATTCAAACTGATGGCCTCATCAATCACCTCTTCTAAGCCGGCCCCTTCCACCATTTCTTCTTGTTCAGCAGTACCTAATAGGGCATTTATTTGTCTATTCTTGCACACATGACCTGGAAAATATCTCTCCCCACACTTGTAACACTCCCCTTTAGCCTTCCTAGCCTCAAACAGTTTGTTAACAGACATTGTTATGTTAGTGTTACCCTCTCTTTTCCCATAATCAGAATTTTTAACACTCAATGCACTATGATTAGTGTTATACTGAACTCTTTGTCTGTTAATTCCTAGCTTTCCCTATATGTTCATTGACTCTAACAGATCTTCCTTATGTCTAGCTTTCTCTACTGCTTGACTCAATAAATAGGGGTCCAACATTTTAACTGTGTCTAATTTCTTCCTTAAGGCCTTCAATAAGAACCCTAAAAAGAATTCTTCAGGGATGGTTGGGTGTTTAATCAACACCCAAGCTTTAAGATCTTCAAATTTCTCAAGATACTCATTCACAGTACCTATCTATTCAATCCTTTTGAACTTTCCAAGTAGATTCAGATTGCTATTATCAGAATTATTAAACCTCTTGCAAATTTCCTCCACAAAATCCGACCACCTCACAATTCCCCTACCTAGTTGATATGAAAAATACCAAGATTCAGCTCTACCATTCAAGTGAAGTACAGCAGTTTCTAGTTTTTCTTAAGGATCTATTATATGATTATAATGAAAATAGGCCAAATATCTATACGGCCCCTTAAACTTGGCTTCAGTTCCCATTTAGACAAAATAATTTTTTTATTCTTCTTCTCCTTCATCTTCTCCTTTATCTTCTCCTTCATCTTCTCCATCGCTACCTCCATTTACCACAAGATTTTTACACTAATTAACAACTTGTTCGTGGTAGCCAAGAAAGATCCATCTGCACTTAATTAGAAGCTCTTCCTTTTCCCTTTTTCAGGGGAACGGGGATGGTGCTGCTCATTATATTTAATATCTTAAGTTTGCGACAACATAAAGATTTGGTGAAAATCGAATCTTAGAACCCTATGATGCGGGATGACAGCTTTACCGCTGAATCACCACTCGATTGTCCTCATCATGTATAATTAGATACTACAAGGTTTGAAGAATGATTAAATGTAAAACATTATTATACATAAAGAAAAAAAGGATGAGAATGAAACAACAAGAATACAGTTAGAACCGAGCCCAACAGCGAGTGCATTTAGCCACACAATCACCTTTGCAATCGACGTTGTAGCCTAAAACTTTTGGATTTCGAAGCAGCACTTTTGTCAGAGTTTTACCTTCAATTCCCCATTGTTTCGCCAAGATTTCCACATTGTTTTTCATTTCATCTTCAAGGCTACATCCAAGAACTTCTGGGAATTTCTTGAGAAGTTTAGTGAGATCATCATCGGTAAGGCTTAAGCTCCTTAGATAATCCAATATCTCATTCACAACTTCAAGTCTTGGAACCTCTTTCTTCCGTTCTTCATACCAGTAAGGTGAATGTATCTGGCCAAATGCTTTTCCTAAGATTTTGTCTTCCTCCTCTGGGCTAAATTTGAATGCCGACAGAGCTTGTCTGCTATCATTCCATGTTTTCTTCTCTTCTTCAGTTAATACTATATTGTCAGTAGCTGTTGAATGCAACTTCCATTTCTTGGACAGATAATAACCAGATGTCCAAGATCCTTTGGTGACATTTGATGTAATGTTATTCGAGCAATTTACATACCCTACTAGATTGTTTGCTGCTGTTGAGCCGGAATCACACTGTTAAGTAAGAAAAAGGTATTAGTATAAGATACTTTCGCCAGAGAGTATATTGGGCTGATATTGAAGACTGAACATCACGGAAAAAATGAATGATTTTGTCATTATCAAAAGCAACAATAAAACAACTACTTTTCAATCCCAAACTAGTTGCGTCAGCTATATCAATATCCTCAAATAACCATTCTTCGGAAAATCATCATCTCACAGGAGTTAAATTAACCTTCATCTTTCTACCGATCTTGCTTAGGCAGAATCTGATACACACTTGTTTCAAAATGCAAGGTTATGAAAAAAAAATTCAACTTAAAAGTATGCAGCCTTTCCAAGATTTCAAATCTAAAAGCATCAATTGATCCATCAATCAATTATATCTCAGTTTCAAACTAGCTGGGGTTAACTATATAAAAGTCCTATATCTATTCTTCTTTGTTTGACCCTTTTCCAAACCTAAAAGCATGTCAGAGAATTGCTCATCCTTCCCCTAGATTTTGTAACATCATAGATGATATAGGCATTCCACCATCACAGACTAGCTGAAGATTTTGTAACATTGCAATTTTATGAAGTCTGTAAGTACACAAGTACCAAGAGAATAACAAAGAAAAAATTAGTTATCAACCAATAAATTTAAAAATGAAATAAAAATATTCTCTTTTCCAACTTATATGACGCCTTCTCCATTTTGATTGTTACAAATAATTTCACACCATTCCATTCATACTTTTTCTTTTGTAACGGTGGTGTCCAGGCCATTGGGAGCACCTCAATTATTCCAGTGGATATGTGCTACCTCCAACCAGCACAAACATTTTGTCTTTGCTAGAATTTGAAACTGGTTACCCGCTGATGTTCATCCACTTTATTACCATTAGACCACACCATTGGTTGTTCAATTAATACTATTACTCTATACAACTTTGAGAAATTTAAATTTATTAACTATTGACTTCGTTCTCTAGCCGAGGGTCTATCGAAAACAGCTTCTCTGCCCTTCCAGGGATAGTGGTAAGGTTGCGTACATCTTACCCTCCCCAGACCCCGGGAAACTACTGGGTTTGTTGTTGTTGTATTGACTTCGTGTGATGTTTGCTCCATCTACTTGTCAATTGATATTGTAACATCTCATACTCTGTATCTATTAAGCATCGTCACATAAAATAAAACGGAAATAAAAGAAAGAAATAGAACACGAAGGAGATAATATAGTAATTTGGAGTCTAGTAGCCCCAGCCATAACTCATCAATGGTTTCTACCAAAATGCAAAAGAAAAGAAAAATGTAAGACAGAAGTTATACTCACACAAAGAGAGGAGAAGCATGATGCGGAGTTAAAGGTCAGCAAAGGAGAAGCAAATGATTTGCCTAGCATCCCTGCACCATAAAGCACAGCGTGAGAAACAGTTAATTGATCTTAGCATTAATGAGGTGAATCTAAATAACAACAATGACAACAAAAACAACAACGGTAGTAATGATAATAACAAAAAGAATAAATGGACAAATACGAAAATAAAACTCTAAGACACCGATATTAGAATCTGTCGCACAAACTAATTTCCTGGCGAACATAAGGTCGCAAAGCTAAAATCCTCAGTGGGTGGATCCCATAAACATAAATATCTCTCTGTAACTTTTACTAGTAGGAGCGGCTCCATATTATACCATGAGGACGTAAACTTACCGAACTAATCCTCTAAAACTAGCTTACTAAGAGGTTCAATATCCTCCTTTTTCAGTTAATGCATAGATCAAGGATCAAATACGAGAATTTGGTTAGCCAAAGCTAGAGAAGATTTAGTACTTGACACAACAATTAATAAAACTATAATGTTAAGACACACTCTAATTAAGTCCAAAAAGAAACTGCTCTAGAACTTGACAATTGCCTCACATTTGATTCCTGATGGAGCAAATTATCCCAGAGTTTCCTCTGAAGTGGGTTGTCACTCAGCGACTAAGAAGTGTGTTGAAGTAAAAGAAAAAGATCAAATTGTCAATGTGATTACGTAGAAATGATAAACAAGGTGATTCATAGTGCCCTTCCCCGGACCCCGCGCATAGCGAGAGCTTAGTGCACCGGGCTGCCCTTTTATAGTGTACTGCAACACACTGTCCTCTTACTTGTAGTCAAGATATGTCAATTCCTCCATTTTCTCTCTTGTTTTCAAAACCACTTGTTACACAAACATGAGTTTTAACTTGATGCTATGTATCACACTCATCTTCTCTCAGCATAAGCAGTGTTGTCAAGTGCGCGCTTAAAACGCTTAAGCGAGGCAAAACATGTTGAGCGCTCTGCTTCACTTTGCTTAGCGTGCGCTTCAGTATTGTCATCAAGGCTCTAAGACATACTTTTCCTTGCCAATGAGTGAATCCTGAAGAGGCGATACTAGACAATTGATATTTCACATTATCATAATTTTTTTTCAATTTATTTGTCCATATATTTGTTATTCATGTGTATTATTATTAGTGTTGGACTACCCACACATTATTTTAATTTTCTCCATTTGAGTCTTTCTTCATTAAAGCTCACGCTTTATATGCGCCACTTAAAGCCCCAAAGGACCAACGAGCTTTTTTGCGCTTTTCGCCTTTGATAACACTGACCATAAGGTTCTAACAACTCTTCTTTTTTTTCATGGAAACCCACATGTCAAAGAACTCAAACTTAATTAGCATATCCTTGGTATTGCTTCTTGTTTGTAATCAGTACACTACATTCCACCTAACTCCAACTTGGTAGCTCCTATACCGATACTTAATTATATATTAGTAAATGTTTTAGCCATTTTCATTGTAATGTTCATGAATGGTTCAGACTAATACAAAGAGAAGCGTGTCAGGCTAATAGAAGAAAAATAATTATAAGAGAAAATCAATAAATTCCACAAGACAGGACAAGATTTACGTGGTTCGGCAATTTTTGCCTACTCTATGACCATACAGAGAATAGGTTTTATTGCTGAAGAGAAAAGAACAAATTTTGATGAGATGATCTACAAATGAGGGGCAGAGACATATTTATAGGTTTTAGAATACCCGTTGATGTAATCGTGTATGTCATAGGAATGAAATTTAGAGATAAAGTCTCTCACCTGACAAGCTACTTCACATTATTTATTCTTCTTTGCAGACATTGCGAAGTCATCATTTGCCTATTGTGTCAGGTAATATATGCGTTATACTCAATATTTGAATAGCCATAATAATTACTGTATAACGCATGTAATATATGCGCTATGTGTGCAGCGCATATATTACATGCGCTATACTGAACAATAGCCGTCCCTAAGCACTGGATAGTTGCTTACTTAAGGCCAAACGTTCATTCTTGAGTGAATTTGAACCAATTTACCTTTGTTCTTCAGCATCCTTTATATATCACTTCATTTTCATCAATATATACATACATTTTCTCTTTGAATCTTGCTACAATGTCAGATGAGCTAAAAAATAGGGTTGCATTATATTGGGGCGTTGAGACTGTGGTGGAGAATAACTAAGTACAATATAGTTATTCTCCACAGAGTATTGTTAAGGTACCACTAACATTGAAGTACGACGAATTGGTACCTCTGATTTGTAACAGAATGAGTGTGAATAAACATTCAATTAATCTTAAGGTAACCGGAAGATATCCATATTCGCTTACTCTGCTAGGTGTTTCTTGTTATGCCGAGTTTAACATCGATGACAATGAAACTCTGCAAGATTTTTTAAGGACTCCAGATGAACACAAAGATGTTCTTGTGTTAAGAATGCTGGAAATGTACGTAAAGTCTGAAGACGTCAACAGTATTGATGTTCCGCAAAATATGGCTAAAACTCAACCATCTGGTGGTGTTTTCGGAGTTGTTTTATCCGAACAGGTTCCGTATGAAAGAGTCTGGCCAGATCTAAACTTATCTCCATGGGTTAATGATGAGCGAGGACATAATTTCTCCCAATGCAGCAGCATGGAGGGTCGCCAAGTTTACAGAATTCACAGGTCGAGCGGTAAATTGCAATTTTTCTTGTTGTAGTATAACTATTTCTTTTATGTATCATAATCGTACTAACTCGTATATCTTTCATAGGGGATACTAGCCAGATATGAATTTTACAAGTTATGAACCAACTCATAGTTAGAATATACCTAATTTTGGAAGGGTGGATCATGCTGGTCCATCCTCGAGTCATCAGCAACTCGATAATGTGCATCATGGGCTATCTACAAATTATGAATGGTACATTTAAGAGTTAAAGTTAATATATTATGTTGAGATGGCTCCGAAATATTAATTACTTTATTGGTTTTGCAGTGAAAATAAGCAACATGACGGACTTGTCCTAACTCAGTTGCCAGTTGGGCGATAACGATATATTGAATTAGGATATGGCATATGCACAGAGTGAGTAAGATGACAGTGATTATCACAACAACGCTAATGAGTCCGGAGATGACACACCCTTCCCTAATGAGAGCGACGATGAGGAACCACACTTCACATATGAGAGTGAGAATGAGTAACCAGATTTGACGATGGAGCATGATGTCACAACTCAGCATGCTCCATATATGCAGACTCCACCACCGTTAGACAAACGGTGTATGAGTCGCACGCCTTTTCATTCGAGGGAGATTCCCTACCTTGATCACTTGTCAAATATGCCAAATGTGGATGCTCTCACAAGCGATCTTGATGACATTCGTACAATAATGTGGGATGAAAGTAGACCAACAGAGCACTATAAGAATATGTTTTCGGTGACAAGGTTGGTCTCAGCAAGGCGGTGTGAATTTACAGCATAAAAAACTGTCATGAGATCGAGCTTGCTGAGTCATCTAAGAAAATATATATGGCGGTTTGTCGTAGATGGGACCAAGGTTACAAGTGGATGCTGCATGGGAAAAAGTTGAAAACTAATATGCGGATGGTGGGGAAATACATTAGCAAGCATACTTGTAATATGGACACATTCAATGAGAATCATTTTAACTTGAACGTTGATTTGATTTCCCTTGTCATGATTCCACACGTTGAATCGTCCATAAGGTACAAGGTGAATGAGTGTTAACATTAGTTGCGCAAGTATATGGGTGTACCATTACCAAAAGAAAGGCATTTCTCGGGCGTAAACGTGCGTTTGAGATTGTTTATGGCAACTAGGATAAGTCATTTGCGGCTCGGCCAAGGTACATGACTGCTTTGCAACACTTTAACCCCGAGACATTCATATTGAATTTTAAATGCTAAGTGTCAATCAGAGTTAACACTATTGGACAACTTTATTTTATTGATATTGCAAACATACCATTACAGACACTTATTCCTACTAAATATACTACTAAAAAAATAAATAATATGCCTGATAATTGTCAATGTTGGATGAACTGCCACAAGAAGCTGAATTGCCACCGCGTCCCAAACCGATTGTAGGACATTTACAGTGATCGTGTCCTATTTGGGAACAGAGACCACATTTAAGCGCATATACGGTATCCCCAACATCCATTTGGTTCTGTAACCGCCGGGTTCTGTTTTGCACTACCCTGCAACGCAAAAACGCCTTGTTACAAAACATTACAAATGGATCCCGCGACCAATAAGACTCAGAACCCAATGGGTGGAAGTGTCCGCTATAGGTGTTTGCGTATGCAGCCACACTATATTCTCTATCAACATACCTCATCGCTACAAACCCAGTATGTAGAAAGCACTTCAAGGCATGAGAGCATGGCAAGTGATAAATCGACTATTTACCACATGAACATAATCGCGTGCTCTCATTGATGGTGTGGGTATTATTACCGCGGCCTCGATGCAAACCAATGCGAACTTCAAAAATATTTCGGTCACTGCAATATTGCAAATATGTATGCCACTGTCACCGCTTCCTATAACGCTCAAACTGTTGCATCGGTTTTGGCATAATTTGAACACCCATTTCCAACAAGGAGGATGCACTGCGGAATCTATCAACGAACCTCTCCGCCGGCTGCTTGAATGGCATCCGCACAATGGCAGTGGCTGGCAATCCACGGTCTGACTTCAACAACCAATTGAAAGAGTCTGAGACATTAGTATCAAAATTCTCTATCTTCTGCCATCATCCTTATGCAGAGTCCGCTTCTCAATCTCAAGATTCCTCAACCAAAGATAAGCTTCTTCGTCTTCCTGACTAATGAATTCCATTTGCATCAAGAATTTCCTCTCTTGATGATCTGTTGTAGCGATCCACATTAGATCATGCAAGCTCTTGTTCGGATAAGCCCGCTGGAAGTTGGCCTTCAAGTGCCTAACACAGTAACGGTAGTAGCCGTATAGCTCCTTCCATTCATCCAAAGCACGTACAGAACTTAAAATCCCACCGTACCGATCAGATATTAGACAAACACCTGAACGTTGTTTCACAACATGCTCCTCCAAGTGGTTTATAAACCATGTCCAAGTCTCTTGACTTTCATTGGCACAAATAGCAAAGGCAATGAGAAATATTTGGCCATTAGCATCTACTCCAACGGCAATCAACATCTTCATATCATACTTTCCGCACATATGTATGCCGTCTATGGAGATGAACGGGCGGCAATGAACAAAACCATCAATGGATGGTTTAAATGCCCAGAACACATATCTGAATAAGTTTTGTAGAAAGTCAGGACTCCGGTCGTGCTTCCACTCAACAAATGTCCCGGGGTTCATGTGTTGCAAAGCAGCCATGCACCAAGGTAGAGCCGTAAATGACTTATCACAGTTTCCATAAACAATCTCAAACGCACACTTACACCCGAGAAATGCCATTCTTTTGGTAATGGTACACCCATATACATGTGCAACTGATGTTATACACTATTTCACCTCGTACCTTATGGACGATTAAATGTGTGGAATCAAGATAAAGGAAATCAAATCAACGTTCAAATTAAAATGATTCCCATTGAATGTGTTCATATTACAAGTATGCTTGCCAATGTATTTCCCCACCATCCACATATTAGTTTTCAACTTTCTCCCACGCAGCATCCACTTACAACTTTGATCCCATCTACGACAAACCACCTTATATTTTTTCTTAGATGACTCAGCAACCTCAATCTCACGGCAGTTTTTTATGCTGTAAATTCGCACCGCCCTGCTGAGGCGAGCCTTATCACCGAAAATTATATTCTTACAAAGCTCTATTTGTCTACTTTTATTCCACATTGTTGTACGAATGTCATCAAGACCCCTTGTGAAAGCATCAACATCGGCATACTTGGCAAGTGATCAAGGTAGGGAATTTTCCTTGAATGAAAGGGCACACACAACTCGTACATCGTTGATCTAACAGTAGGTGGAGTCTACGTATACGGAGCATGTTGAGTTATGGCATCATGCTCCATCGTCAAATCTGATTGCTCATTCTCACTCTCATCTGTAAAGTGTGGTTCCTCACCGTCGCTCTCATCAGGGAAGGGTGTGACATCTTTGGACTCATCAGTGTCGTCGCCATAATTATTGTTATCTTCCTCACTCTGTGCATCTGCCATATCCTGATTCAATATATAGTCATCACCCAACTAAGTTAGGACAAGACCGTCATATTGCTCATTTTCACTGCACAACCAATAAAATAATTAATATTTCGAAGCCACCTCAACATACTATATTAACTTTAACTCTTAAAACATACCATCATAATTTGTAGATAGCCCATGATACACATTATCGAGTTGTTGATGACTCGAGGATGGACCAGCATGATCCACCCCTCCAAAATTAGGTATATTCCAACTATTGGTTGGTTCATAACTTGTAAAATTCATATCTGGCTGGTAACCCACTATGAAAGATATAAGAGTTAGTACGATTATGATACATAAAAGAAATAGTTATACTAAAACATGGAAAATTGCAATTTATCACTCGGCCTGTGAATTCTGTAAACTTGCCGACCCTTCACGCTGCTGCATTGGGGAGTAATTATGTCCTCGCTCCTCATTAACCCATGGAGATAAGTTTAGATCTTGCCAGATTCTTTCATATGGAACCTGCTAGGATAAAACATCTCTGAACCACCAGATAATTGAATGCTAGCCATATTTTGCGAAACATCAATATTGTTGACGTCTTCAGACTTTACGTACATTTCCAGCATTCTTAACACAAAAACATTCCAATGTTTATCTGGAGTCCTCAAAAAATCTTGTAGATTTTCATCATCATCGATGTTAAACTCGGCATAACAAGCAGCATCTTGCGGAGTAAGCGAATACGGATATCTTTCAGTTACCTTAAGATTAACCAAACGTTTACTCACGCTCATTCTTTTACAAATCAAATATATGCATTTGTCGTACTCCGACATGAGTGGCACCTTAACAATACTCTTTGGAGAACAACTATAGTGTACCGAGTTATTCCCCACCACAGCCTCACCGCCCCAATATGATGCAACTCTAAATTTTCGCTCATTAGATATTGTAGCAAGATTCAAAGAGAAAAGGTATATATTGAAGAAGATGAAGTGATGTATAAAGGATGCCGAAGAACAAAGGTAAATTGGTTCAAATTCACTCAAGAATGATTTTTTCAAGAATGAATGTTCGGCCTTAAGTAAGCAACTATCCAATGCTTAGGGATGGCAATTGTTCAGTATAGCGCATGTAATATATGCGTTGTACACATAGCGCATATATTACATGCGCTATACAGTAAATTATTATGGATGTTCAAATATTGAGTATAACACATGTATTACATGCGCTATACCTTAACGGGATAACTGGCCATTAAGGTATAGCGCATGTAAAAACATGCGCTATATATAAAATTATGCTTATCCCTTTTTTCCACCTATTTTGTCCTCTTGAATCAAAAATAGCAACATTTAGGTTCCGGACTCGCATTTCTCTCAGCATAAGGTTCTGACAACTCTTATTTTTTTAAGGGAAACCCACATGTCAAAGAACTCAAACTTAATCAGCATTTCCTTGGTATTGATATACATTCCACCTAACTCCTGCTCCATAGCTCCTTCCAGGCTCCAATTACTTAATTGCAAAGGAGTAAACGTTTTTATCATTTTCACTGCAATGTTAATAAATGGTTCAAAGTATTACAGAGACATCCAATATTGGACTGTTTGAAATGGAATTACTTCAACCATTTGTCTAACTCTTATTATTTCACTAACTATTACCACTCTAGGTACTTTATTTTTTAGTATTCGAAATGCATAACCAGATTAAATCTTGTTTTCATTTCACCCCACCAATTTCATATTCATCGACCCACTATCAAAAGCCACTTTTACTTAAACAACTAACCCTAAAATAGAGAGTAACATCCACAATAAATTGCGTTCCCAGGCATAAAGGGTTCACATGAATCATAAAAATTTACAGATATCAATTGGACAATCCCACTAAGAAAAAAACTAAAGCTCCGAAACAAATAAGTAAGAAAATCATATATCAATCAATAGTTAAAATTCATGAATTCTACCTTAGATTGCAGTCCAGCTTCAAGAATGAATGGGAAAGTCAAGAAGCAGAAGAACAACAGAGAATGATCTTGGAAACAGCTACCACAGTTGAGCTCAAGTAAAGGGAAGAGAATGTACGGTACAATCCCAATTGAGTTGCAACGATAAACAGATTGGACCCAAGGTTTTTGAGTGTGCGAGAAGGGGACAGGAAAATGAACTGTGTCCTTTCGCTCCATTTGGGTGCCCGTGTTTGAGAACGAAAGGCCAATAAGCTGCTGAGATCATCCAATTTTTAGTTTGACAATATTTTTTTTATTTAAAAAGAGTCACATTTGGTAACTCAACCATTAGGTTATTCACTTGGGTCGTTTAGTTACTGGAATTAATAATATAATAATTCCGATATGGATTTGAAATAAATACAATTCCATATTTGGTTATGAATATTAAATGATATCCGTACAAATTGTTATCAAAATAATGATACTAATTAACTCACTCATAGTAAATGTGGGATAACAATCTTGGGATTATTAATTCCAAATTGTTATGAATAGAATTGTACTTAGAGTGAATGTCTATCTTTTAGAGAGTTTGTTACTTTGTGGCTAAGTCATTTTTCACATATAAATAAAGGAGTTTTGCCCCTGTAGGCATATAAATTTTATTGGAATTAAATCTGTAAAATAATTTGGACGATATTTTAAAATTCAAGATATATTAGTTCAAATAAATTTATTGGGCTAATATAATTGGATTAGTTATATAAGTCCAACATATATAGATTAAATAAATAAGTCTTAATCCATTGGGCTAGCCCAGTTAATTGGTTAAAGTGATGAGCTCACTTCATTAAGCTCAAGATATCATCTTCCTAGAGGCTCAGTTTGGTGCCACGTGTCAAATGACGTGGCACGCCAAGTCAAATGGAAGAGCCAACAGGATCATGCCATGTGTCAAAATGACAAGGTATGCCAAGTCAAATTAAAAGGCCAATAAAATCGCGCCACATGTGCAAGTGACATGTTTTGGCCAATCAAATGCGGCTTTGTCACTCTTCAATCTGATTGGTCGGAAAGAGTTTGTTCTTATCATAACTCTTCCCTCCCACAACTATAAATAGGGGTTTTCATAATCCAAAAAAGGGGCCAGAAGTTATAAAAATAAGCAAGAGGGAGCTCGTGGATCAAACGCTGCAGATTTCTCTAAAAGCTACAAGCATTCAAGTGTTCTAAGGATTAAAAGATCAAGACGAAGATTCAAGAACAAGCTGCAAGCCCTTGGATTAAAAATACGTCAAGATCAAGATTAGGCCTCAAGCACTTGGATTAAAATAAATTAAAATTCAAGATTAAGCTCAAAGGCTCTTTTATTTACTGTTGAAAAGAAGAATAAGAGGATTCATAGAGATTGTACACTCAAATTACTTGAAATCAAATATTACGATTATTGCAATATTTTTCAGTCTCGATTATTTTTCCTGACGCAATTTATTGTCTACAAATTCTGGCATGCCCAGTGGGACAATCTCTACCTCTCATCTCAACTTTTCAAATCATCAAAGTTCAAGAACATTGAAATGGCTTCAAAGAAAATCAACTCCAGTTCAACTTCCACCAAGGCTGCTAATTCTAGGTTCTACGCTGATGTGGAAAGCATCCTCGATGTTACCTTTGGAATATTTGAATCAGTTACGAGGAGCAAAGCAAGCTCGTTAGGACAACAAGCACCCCAAGTGTCGTCCGCATCAACCCCTGTTTTCGGATCTTCATCCTCAAAAGGAACAAGATCTTCCACAAACGTACCCGAAGGAGGAAGCGATGTTGCTGAAAATATCAAGAAAACTCTTGCTCTGCTTGACCTCTCCGGATCCAAGAACTCGGCTGTAAAGGAAGATGATGATGCTTCAAGTGATGGATCCTCCCTACTTACACTGCGTAGCGTGAGCCATTCGAGAATCAATCTGTGTGACAATCCATGCTACTCCACATCATCTACAACAATCATGCAAGCTATAATGACAAACACTTCATCTGTGGAAGAGCAGTTGGCGAACTTGACGGAAGCAATCGCTGGCTTGACCAAGTGCATGCAAAATCAAGATGCTAGAATCGACAAGCTAACAGATAGGGTAGGAATCTTGATGGAAGAAGAATCCACCCATGCACCTGGCAAACTCCCAGAAGTTCAAGAGATTGATCCTCCCCCACGACAAGTTGCATCCACTAAGGAAATTCTAGTCTCTTCGGAAGGGATGATTCCAATCAATCAACTAAAAGAGTTCATTGAAGGGACTATAAAAAACAAATATGAAGTCGCTTCTAGGTCCTCCTTTACCTACGCAAAGCCGTACACTTCAAGGATTGATATGTTGAAGATGCCTGCTGGCTATCAACCTCCAAAATTTCAACAGTTTGATGGCAAAAGAAATCCAAAGCAATATGTGGTGCACTTCGTTGAGACATGCAACAATGTTGGGACTTGTGGAGATTACCTCGTCAAGTAGTTTGTCCGCTCATTAAAAGGAAATGTTTTTGATTGGTATACGGACCTCGAGGCTGGATCTGTTGATGGCTGGGATCAACTAGAGCAAGAATTCCTCAATCGCTTTTATAGCACGAGACGTACTATGAGTATGATAGAACTTACAAATACTTGTCAATGAAAGGGTGAACTAGTTATTGACTTTATCAATCGTTGGAGGAATGCAAGCCTCAACTGTAAAGACAGGCTTAGTGAAGCTTCTGGCATAGAGATGTGTATCCAACGCATGCATTGGGGATTGCACTATATCTTGCAAGGTATCAAGCCTAGCACGTTTGAAGAACTTGCAACTCAAGCCCATGACATGGAATTGAGCATGGCCTCTGCTGGAAATGAAAGGCTGCCCATCTATGAACCTCGCAAAGGGAACGACAAAAAAAAAGATAGGAAGTGGGGAAAGTTCATACCCAAGTCTGAAAGCAAAGAAGCTATGAATATCAACACATCACCTGTAAAGTTCACGACGAAAGTGAGCAAGAAGCAGAGTATGAAATCCACTTCTTTTCAAGATAAGCTAAGTGGAAAGTTGACTCTAAAAGAAATGCAAGAGAAAGAGTACCCATTTCTGGATTCTGATGTGCCAGCTATTATTGAAGAACTCCTTGAGTTAAATCTCATTGAGCTTCCGGAGATGAAGCGACCAAATGAAGCTGGGAAAATAAATGACCTGAATTATTGCAAATATCATCGACTTGTGAGTTAATCTCTGGAGAAGTGCTTTGTCTTCAAGGACAAAGTTATGGGCTTGGCTCGCGAGAAGAAGATCGTGCTTGAAGATGAGAAAGCAAGCGCAAACCAAGTCTCTATCACCTTTGGCTCATTCATTCCGGATGAATTATGTGGTTTTAAAGAAAGTAAAGATGAAAAATTACTGGAGAACGATAAAGCTGAAGTCAATCAATCTGATGATGATGAAGGTTGGAAGTTGGTGACTCATCGTAGGCACCATAGAAGGAGTCCACGAAAAGAATCAGTAGAACAACCAACAAGGAAAGTGATGGTAAAATGATCAAGGAGATAGAATCCAGTTAAGCACTTAAAGAAAGCAAAAGTGGAGGTGCACCACCCTCAAAAGCCACGACATCCAGTGACCTTGGAGGAGTTTTTACCAAGTTGGTTCCGCACGAAGATTTCCCGTGGGGGTATTGATGCCTCCTGTTTCCATGCTAACAAAGGGGGAGAAAAGAGTGATGACCTACCGTTGGCACCATCTTCGGAAAAACTCATTTAGTCCACTCCTCAAGAAGTTAATGCTTGTGAGGAAAAAGTCACGTTCACAAATGACGAGCTTCTACTAGGTGACACTCTTCATAACCACCCGTTGTACCTGGTTGGCTATATGTGTGATGAAAGGGAAAATTGAATTTTGATTGATGGAGGATCCTCAGTGAACATCTTGCCAATTCGCACTGTGAAAGAACTTGGTATTCCCATAAACGAACTCTCGGAAAGTCATGTGATGATCCAAGGATTCAACCAAGGGGGCAAAGAGCCATAGGTGCGATCAGGTTGGGAATCACCATTGAAGATATGCAATTAAGTGCATGACTGCATGTGATCGATGCAAAGAATTCATACAACGTCTTGCTCGGAAGGCCTTGGATACATGAGAATAAAGTGGTTCCATCTACCTACCATCAATGTTTGAAGTATTACGAGGGTGAAGTTGAAAAGAAGATAGTTGTTGATGATGAGCCATTCAACGAGGGTGAGTCACACTTCGCCGATACAAAGTTCTACTTGAAGAACCGTATTGTGAAGGAGCTAAAAGCTAATGATGGCATGAAAAGCAAGAATGACGAGCCCACAACTAAAAGAGCTGAGGTGATTGCTGGTAGAGCCAAAGCTGTTACTGAGGAGGTACAACCCAACGCGAATAAATCTCATAGAGGGGATATTGTGTCTTATGGCAAGAAAGTAAGTCATGCACTCCAATATGTCCCTAAAAGAAAGAAAGATGAAGGCGAATCATCTAATCTCCAAACTAACATGCTAAAGGAGTTAACTCTTCCTATAAAATGAATTGAGGCAGTAAAGTTGTCCTCAAAGCCACTTGCAGGGTTTGTATCCCAAAATCATTTGCAAAATGTAGCACTCCCTACAAAGCGAACAGATGAAGGTTTTGATCATAATGCTTACAGGCTATTTGCAAAAGCTGGATACAATCCCAATGAGCCGTCAAAGTTAGGGAAGCTCCCATCAGAAGATGCAACGAGGCAACCACATGAAGGTTTGGGATACAAGCAACCGTCACCAGTGCGCATCTCCATAAGAAGGGCGAGCAGCAATTATATCACTGTAGAAGATGAATCTGCCGCTTCTAACAAGCCTTCTGTCTTTGATTGACTTGGAAAATCAACTGTGAGGACTTCCGTGTTTGAGAGATTGGGTCTATTAAAGAAGAGGAACAAATTCCAGAGAAATTTTCAAAGCATAAGAACACCCGCTTCGCCCAAAATCCAAAAGATCTCTAAGGATTTCCAAGTTTGGTTCCTTCAAGAATAAGGCGACAAACAAAACTTGTGGTTTCATGCAAAGAAGTACTGAAGGTAAAGCTATATACTGTGGTCTACACTAAAGAACGTGATGAATACGAAGAAAGTATGGGTTTTTTGTATCATGTTACTGCACAAGGCGAGCATGGTGTTTTATCTCTAATGGAGGATGACGAGAAATTGGACAATGTTTCATTGTGTTATCACATATCCTTCAACGATGGGGACCCTCAAGAAGATGAAGATGCGAAAGATGCTCCCCTGGAACTTGAAGAAGGGGTGAAGGCAACGATTGATGCCTTAAAAGAAGTTAACCTTGGCACTGATGAAGAACCAAGACCCACCTACCTAAGTGCTTTACTAGAAGTTGATGAAGAAAGCACTTATATTTAGTTACTCAAGGAGTTTAGGGATGTCTTTGCTTAGAGTTACAAAGAAATGCCTGGATTAGACCCTAAAGTAGCAGTCCATCACCATGTGG